GGCAGGAGCGCTGCCGCGCTTCCCAAGCGGCGCACTATCCAGTGTGCCACCGGGCCGGCCCTCAATCAACGTTTTCTGAACTCTGACATGTGCAGGCCCTGTACTGAGTGCTGGGAATAAAGTGGAGAATGGAAAGGGACTCCTGCTCTCCAGGAGCTCACTGTTGAACAGGGAGACGGGCAGTAAATCTCCACGCTCACGGCAGGGGAAGGAGCAGAGCTCTGCGCTCCCAAGACCTGCATTTCAGCACTTACTAGGAACGTGACACACAGCAAAGTTACTTAGCTTATGGGAGCCTCAGTCTCCCTATCTGAAAAATGAAAATAATCCACTTCCTTGGGTCATTCTAAAGATTCCTGTGAACACAGGTAAAGCATCTACACGGTACTATATAAACCACAGAAAATAAATAGCAGTAGTTATAAAATTTCACTAAAGAGATGCCCAGAGTGGGAAGGTGGGGAGTCTCAGAAGGCTTCAGAGAGAAGGCAGAATAAAGAAAGAGGCGGCAGGCAAATCCACCGCACCCCTGCTTCCCCTCAGGAGCAGACGAACGCACTGTCACTAGGGTCCCTCTGCACCCCCTCGGGCCCTGCGCACACCGCACCTGAGTCGACTCTTGTTTCGAGCCACGCGGGTGAGCGTGTAGCGGTTGATGGTGTAGAAGTAGTCGTGGTACGGCACGTCGTGGGTGAGGACTTCGGCGTCGATCACGTAACACTCACTCTCCTGGCTCCCCTTGTACAACGTCTGCGGGCAGGAAAGGTCCATTGGACAAAACGGCGGAGCGGCAGGACAGGCAAACCACCTTCTGCACCGCCCCCCCCCACCCCCACCCACCGCACGACTTCTGGATGGAAGACCTGAACCACTGTTCATGAAGCATCCAGACACGCAAGATGCTGCTGCTTCCACGCTGGGCACCTGCCCCCGGAAACTTTTCTGCCTAACATCTGTCCTTCATCCTTCGCGGCAGCACAGAGGACCCTCCGGCCCCTATGCCTCTGCCTCTCTGCCCTCACCTGTGTCTCCCTGACAGTGGCAGTTTTGGGAGCCAGAGGGTTGGTAAGGGTGATGGTGTAGAGAATCACTCGGCTCTGGTTTCCGTTCTCTTCCTTTTTCCACGGATGGAAGATGATATCTGAGGGTAGAGAAGAGCCCTGGGATCAGGGAGGGAAAGCAGCTCCCCATCTCCACATCTAAACTTCCCCTGCAAGTGAACTTTTCCTGACTGTGCTGACTATCGACAGGCCCCAAAAGGAAGCCAATGGGAGCCCGAGGGCCAGGGGAGGAGGGTGGGAGGAGGGGGAGTTGGAGCAGAAAGAGGCTCATTGTAGCAATGCCGAAATTCTACACAAGGCTCCATAACGCTGATTGTTCCTGGGGCTGGGGCAGGAGGTCCTGGGGCCACCTACGGGGATGAGGGCAACACTGGAGCTACTGTGGCGAGGGCCTAGGATCCCTTGGGAACAAGTCTCCTCCTCTAAGGCACGACCTCCCTGTGCCCTCAACACATCCTCTTCCCAGCACTGGGGCCCAATGATGACCAGATGCTCTTCACAGAGTGGGTGTGTAGCAGCCCTGCTAGGCCAGAGCCTAGTGACTGCAGAGGGAAGAATGGGGGCTAGGGGATGAGACAGAGGCACAGAGTGGAAACATATGAACCCCCAGAGTCCTACATCTGCATCCCAGCTCGGCCCCTTCTTAGCTGCATGACCTTGGGCAAGTGGTAATAGTCTGAGTTTCAACTTCCTCATCAATCCGGGGGTCACAATGCCCACACAAAGAGCAGCCATGAGGACTACATGACATTGTGCCACATGCTTGGCATGGAGTGGGGGCCTCCCAGCAAGTGGGAGCTGCTGCCCTTTACTGGATGGTAAGCCCAGTGAGGGCAGAGACCGAGCAGGTCCTGCTCACTGACGAGTCTTTGGGGCCTGGTGCACAAGGGGGAAGGAGAGAGCAGCAGTCCCCGAGGGAGCTCCAGAACCACATAAGGCCAGAAAGAGGTGTCTGGGCCATCAGGTGGCCTGGAGAAGGAGGGTGCATGGAAAGAAAGGAAAGGGAGCAAATGTAGAGAGATGGGTGGACAGAGAGGGAGGGATGCAGGGACCAGCCTGGCAGAAGGAACCTGAGAAGCGCCGCTGCTCCATGAAGTCCCGCTGGAAGGGCGAGTTGGTGAAGAGGAGGTCGTAGAGCTTGTCCACGCTGAAGTTGAAGACTTCATTCACGAACTGCCGGCCATTCAGGTCCTCATAGAAGGCCTGCACCTCCCCTGCACAGATGAAATGACGAGGACAGAAACAGTGACGGTGGGGAGCAGGGCACCCCCAAGACACCCCCAGGACATCCCCAGAGCACCATGTTTCTGGCTGATGCAGGCACATGGAGTGGGGCAGCTGTGCTCGTAGGCTTTGCTGTTTATAACTCTGCTCAGTCTTTCCTTTGCTGGGATGCATATTGTTTACTATACAGGTTGCCCATCCCAAATCTGAAAATCCAAAATCTGAAATAATCCAAAACCTAAAATACTCAAAAACCTGAAACTTTTTGAGCACCAACGTGACACTCAATGAAATTGCTCATTGAAGTACTTCTGATTCTGGATTTTCAGATTAGGGATGCTCAGCTGGTAAGTATGATGCAATTATTCCAAAATCCAAAAAAAAAAAATCTGAATCCGAAACGCTTCTGGTCCCAAGCATTTTGGATAAGGGATACCCAACCTGTACCTGGCACTGTGTTTATTCATCCCTTGCAAAGAGTTTGGGATGACTATTTGCTTTTACACTTTCAAACCCCCCTAATTAAGTTGATCTTAGACTAAAATTCAAACAAATCACTACTTCCTAAGGATGCCTGATCTGAAGGATGGTTCATCAAGAGTCTATAAGTTATCCACAATTGACAACAAATGGCATTAAAATCCATGGCATAGGTGTGTTCAAGGGACATTGATTAATCTTGAATAATCTGTTTATAGAAAAGTTTCTAAGGCTGGGGCTGTTCCAATGGGCTGTGATCCCTAACTGTACAAGGTCTGCTCTCCTTCTACAGCGCAGTTTATTTCCCCCATGATTTCAATACCTCCCCCTTTTAAAGGTTTGATTACAGCTTTATTGTAGCAAAAGAATACAAATCAGAATGAGCCAAGGTGAGAGGCACAAAGAGCAAGGTCTGTGAGGGTCTCAAAAGTGACATTTCCCTCTTTCTCAGGGATGCCACATTACCATTGATGTGTGACAATCTGCAGAATATTGCCCACCAGGGAGTTCCCCTGTAGTCTTCTGAATTTTCTATCTGTTACAGGGTAATGTGTTTGAGGTCCAGGTGAATTGCTAAAGCCTCAGCACTTCTCCCCGCCCTGGGCCACCTCCACAGTCCCTAATTATTGCCCCTGCATGAGCTGATATGTGATCTCAAGTAGGAGGCTGACATTTCTGACACCCTGGGACCCTGAGCAGACCAGGAAGAACTTGGGAGTGTCCTACAGGGTCAGTGCCTATGAGTACACAGATGGGGCCCAGTACAAGTGCAGTGCTGGGAGTATTCACATCTTAGTGTACGTGAATGGCACCCTGTTATTAGGCAGTCCCCAACTCATGCAGTCATTTGCACTGGCCCTGAATCCCAGATGGGGTGGACAAGCCAACCGAAGGTTAGAAGACTACTGCCGGTGACCTTTCAGAGAGAGAGCCCAGAGATGAACAAGTGAACACTGTCTGCATCTGCTCACTAGTCAAAACCCAATTCACCAATTCAATGGAGGAAAACAATCAACCGATTTCATGAGCCGGTGACCTTTCAGAGAGAGAGCCCAGAGATGAACAAGTGAACACTGTCTGCATCGGCTCACTAGTCAAAACCCAATTCACCAATTCAATGGAGGAAAACAATCAACCGATTTCATGACTACTGAGAATCTGTCCTCTCTCTGTGGAATATAGGAAGCAGCATGCTCCTGAGAGATGTCCTAGAATCTGACGCTGTGCAGGAGTGACATAAGAAGCTATCTACTCAGAATAACTACAGGGCAGGGGAGTCTCCAAAGTCTCCCCGACCCAGCAACACGTTTTCTTCTAGCCTTGCCTAAATACCCCACGCTGGAGTCACCAACGAATTTTGCAGCTATCTTGAGGAAGCTTCTATTAAAACCCAATCATTTCCATCGAGCAGTGACTGGCACCTTCCCTGTGGTACATAAACACTGCCTTGCCTTGCGTGTCTGTGAGGGACGGAGCTGCGAGGAAGCCAGCGTCAACAGGGGTACATTTAGTGATGACACCGGATGGCAGAACAAAGCATTACCTGCTGAGTAAGAAAGACAAGTACGAGTAGGGAAAGATGAGGATCCTGCAGTGAAAGCCTGAAAAAATGGATGGATGCTGCTGTGGACTGAACTGTGTCTCCCAAAGTCCAGGTATTAGAAACTTAACCCCCACTGTGACAGTGTTAAGAAGGTGGGAAGTCCTATTACGGTAATTGGAAGGTGGGGCCTTGAAGAGGTGATTAGATTGTGGGCCATGCCCTGGTGAATGGACTAATCCACATGATGGTTTAATGGTGGTCATGGGTATGGTTCTGAGGGCTTTACAACAAGAGCCAGTGAGGAGGTTAGTCTCTCTTGCTTCTGCCTTTCTTGCAATGTGATACCCTGTGTCACCAAAGTCACCACCAAAGAAGGCCTCACCGTAAGTGTTCCCTGGACTTTGGGCTTCCCAGCCTCCAAACTGTACATGGTAAATATTGTTTCCTTACAAATTACTCACTTTCAGGTATTTCTGTTATAAGCAACAGAAACGGACTAATAGAGATGATAATAACAAAAGTACCTTTTTGTAAAAAAAACTGTTACCCACACTTCCACCAGGACCTAGAGATGGGCTCTAGTCCCACAAAGAGACCTGCTTTTATCCTTCAAAATGCAGAGGGGAAGGGCCACTCTGGAGCAATTTTCAAATGCCCACCTTCATCGTGGGTGTCAGAAGAGTCGCTGAGCTCAGTGGGGATGTCCTCATTGTCATTGAAGTCCAATGAAGGGGAGGTCACAGGTGCGATGATCTCAATCTTCTCCCCTATGATGTTGTCAATGGTGAGCTCCTTCTCCAGGGACCCGTCACCCTCCAGCACCTCCTCCTCCAGGGGCAGGCCATCAAACTGCAGGGGAGACAGAAGAGTCACCCACCGGGGCAGCCTGCTCTGATCTAGTCTCCAAAGAAAGATTTGGGACCTGGCCTTGGAAGCCCTCACATTCCCCACATAGCACTCTGCTCAAGAGGTGGGCTGGAGTCGTGCTCTGGGGTTTTTTCCCAGCTCTGCCTCAGGAACCAGTGCCACTGCCCTTCTGGTGCTGGCCATTCGAATAGCACCACTAGCTCCACGAGCCCCACGCCTCACAGGCAGAGTCGGCTCCTCCAGTTCCAGTTCCTTTCCTGCAGCCACACCCCCACCATGCTAAACAATGTCAGCCTGCCTCTAGGCAGTGCCCTTTTTTCCTAGGACCTGCAAAAGGCTTCATAAGCATTTTAAAATTCACTCTCCCATTAGCCCTAGAAGGGAACTGACACAATTCTTTATATTCTAAAGATAACCTCAGAGACAGAAAATAAAGTCTAGGCATCAAACAAATGATATTTTCATTTTAAGACCAGATGGTCTGACCCCTAGGCTGCTGGAATGACAAGGCTCCCTTTTCTGGGAGTGCTTTCCTGAGGAACCCCACCCATCCTTGTAGCTGCCAGTGCAGGACCCAACCCTCCCTCTCCCTCTTCCTTCATCAAGGTTCTATCTCCTCTTAGGCGTTTTTATAGCTTCCCCGAAGTCTAGCACAGTGGGAAAATAAGCCTGTGCATATACTAGGAACTCGACAGAAATTAATCAAATGAGCAAATAAACAATGCACAGTTCTACATTCATGCATGACTTTGACCTCAGGTCAAGGCAGCAAAAAAACAAAACAAAACAAAAAATGTGGAATAGTCGTCCACCAGAGGGGCTGATCTGGAGCAGCCTACAAAGGGCAACATTCACAAAACGGACTTGAAATCACTTTCATTTGCTCAGAAGTCAATCCAAACTGTGTCCCCTAAGCACTTGGAACCCAGCTCTGCATCCTGGGACTATAACACTAGAATATAGTTCCCCCTGTCTGGAATGTTCTTCCGCAGGTGCCCCGGACCCCAGCTCTCTCCCTTGCTTCCTTGGGGCCTTCCTCGGAGCCACGTTCCCAGAGAGGCCCTCACCATTCCCCTTCTCCGGGCGGCACCACCCTCTGCCGTGCTCACCCCATTGTGTTGAAGTCGTCATCAGGGGGCACGTAGTCCTCGTCATCACTGGTCAGGCCCAGCTCCGTCCCGTAGCACTGATGAACGAAGTGCCACAGCTCCTTGGGGCACAGGGGCTGCAGGAAGAGAGGAAGCGGCTCTGGTCCTTCCTTCCTCAGGTCCCCCATTCCGCACAGAGGCACTGAGCCAGGCTGGCTCCCCTGGGGGGCAGGAGAAGTCAAACTACTTTCCCCCCATGTGAACCAGAGGAGAGCTGCCACCTCTATGACAATTCCACCTGCCTCGAGGGTCTCAGCAAGATGCCAATCTTCTGTTAGGAATGTGGATTGCAGCAGAGCCAGGAACCTGGCCCTTCCTCGCCTGTTCCCTCAACAGAGGTTTGCAGAATGGGACCTACTGGCCCCTGAGGATGGTGACTGCCCCACTTTCTGCTCCTATTGAAGAGGTCCAGCATTAAGTGGAATAAACCCATGTTACTCTGGGGCCAAGGGGGATCACAGAGCTTCTGATGTGAAGTCTGAATGAGCTCCCAGAGGAGACCTCGCCTCCCACCCACTGCAAAAATCTTCCTTTATAGTAATTGTGGCCACACAGTCCTCCCTGAATCACTTCCAAGAACAAGGGTAGATGATCTCAGGGGTGTCCTATTCCATAGCTGGACAGTTCCTGTGATTAGAAAGTGTCCTACGGGCCGGCCAGGTGGCGCACTGGATAGTGCGCCGCTTGGGAAGCGCGGCGGCGCTCCCGCCCGAGGGTTCGGATCCCACATACAGACCGGTTCCCGCTCACTGGTTGAGCGAGGCGCGGGAGCAACGTCGAGGGCTGCGATCCCGTTGCTGGTCCCCGGTCCGGTACGGGGGCAACATTGAGGGTTGCGATCCGTTGCCGGACACGGAAAAAGACAAAAAAAAAAAAAAGAAAGTGTCCTACATTCTGTTTAAGGGGCTTCAAGGTCACCTCATCCAACCCTCTCTCGACTACTAAATAATACTTCCTTCTTAGCTCTGAAGTGGAATCAGTTTGCTGACCGGATGTCTATATGTCCTCCCTAAAAGCACTGACCGAGGAAAAGTTAGTTCTCATGGGGCTCAGAGTTTCTGGAGAGAAGCAAAGGAATATCAGAGAGCTAAGGTCAGAGTCTCAGATTTCAAGTAGGGGAGAAAGCGGTAGCAACAAGTATGTGAAAAAGAGGGCAGGAGCAAGAAAAACAGAAGCAAGTCATGACTTTAAAAAAAAAAAAAAATCAAACATAAAGAACGCTTTCACCAGTAGACTTCATAAACAATCTGAGAGCTGCTACGCCTGTCCTTTCAAGGTATGACTTAAGAAGCAGGCAGGACCCCATGAGCCAGCGTTCCGGTTCTACAATTAAGGAGAACTGCTTGGAAGAGTAGAGCCAGGACCCTGTCTCTGGGCTGGCTGGGTTTGGGGGTGGATGCTCTCTGTGCTGACCCTCGCAGTGCCCGAGGGAGGCATCTCCTTCTCCTTTATCGCGACCTCCCTGTCCTGTCTCTGGCCTTTGTGTATGCCATTCATCCTGTCTGGGACGCACCTACCTCTCTGCCAAATCATGTGCTAGCTGGCTTCTCCAGGCAGACTTCCCGGGCCCATTCCACCTGGCTCAGCTTGTCTGACCACAGTTGGGACAAGCACAATTAGCAGACCCTCTTCAGCAAGCAGACTCCTTAAAAATATTTCATGAGGGCATTTGCAAACCATATGGATGACCCTGTGTTTATTCAGAAATGACAGCAGTTGTGAACTAAAAATTCACACCTGCCAGTGGAGACTCAAACACACTATCATTTCACTGCTAGCGATGGCTAACAAAGACGGAAGATCTCAGCTCAAATAACTTCTCAGGATTTATACAAGGGCTGAAGACTCTCAGATTAGAAGAAACTCTAAATAATAAATCTACTTAATTTTCTTTAGATAGTAATAAGTTTGGGCTAAAGTCAAGGCAAATATGCACATATATATAAATTCATACATGTATATATAAAATCGATATGTATGAATTTATATATATATTTAGCTAACCCTGGAGAAAAATTATATATATAATTTTTTCTTACATCTCTTTCTCTGGCTTGGAGACAGTTTCTCAACACCTCACTGCATCTGAGTGGAAACTGTCTAAGGGCAGGGACCATGACATGGCCTTCATCTGAGTCTCCTTGCAGTGTAGTTCAAACACTTGAGTAGTCAGTGGCTGTCTGTGTTAACTGCATTTTCTCATTTTCTCTAAGGGCAGGGACCATGACATGGCCTTCATCTGAGTCTCCTCACAGTGTAGTTCAAACACTTGAGTAGTCAGTGGCTGTCTGTGTTAACTGCATTTTCTCATTTTCTGTATTTCTGATGGCCTGGCATCTGGGGCCCTGCTGACTGGGGAGAAACCTCCTAGGGTTAGCAAATTCCTAGAGATAGAAAACAACTGATCCCAGAGCATGCTTTTCATATACAACCAGCCAATCCAAAGCCCATACCACCCAACTTGCCCTAGATTTAGCTCCAGACCATATCCTCCTGCCCTAATTACCCCAAGGCCAGGTACCAGGCAACTAGAGACAGACCTTATACCCTGAAGCCTGCTGAAATTATTCAGACTAGCCAATCCTAAACCTGCTTGCCCTGCTTTGCCTATTCCTTCCCACAAAAACCGTAATAAACACTCCTGCCAGTGTTTTTCCCTTGCTCCCTCTGCCTCCTGACCAGCCCTGGTGTTTCCCCATGTGGCTGTGTTTGGCATGCTGTGCCTCCTGTTTCTGGGGGTCTATGGATATAAAAACTTCTTCCTTCATGACAGTCATTTCTGTGACTGCATGTCTCTCACCATACCTGATTAAAACAAATCCTGGTGCATTTTAAAATGGTGGAACTGAAGTGCCTAAGGCCAATGAGCACCTTACTCCTGGTAGCTTTGAGACCGTTCACATAGAAGATATGCTACTTCTAGGACTCAGATGAATGTACCCGTGGGAGAACACGTCACTCACCCAAGTCTGTGGGATTTCCAGAACGATGAGGAGATGTGGGCTTCTTTGGTGCTGGCCAATGCCCCGGTAAAAGCAATCTCTCCATGGGGCCCACACCCAAGGGGAAAGAACACTCTGGATGGATATGCATCCTGAGGCTGAAGGACGCAGCTGGGCAGTGCTTACCTTTTCAAGGAGAGCATTCTGCCAGAGCCGGAACATCATCATATACGTCCTGTCCCGGGCTCCAAATGAAGTGAAAAAGTGCTAGATTGGAAGAGAAAATGACAAGAAGAGTCTGTTAAGACATAACGAACGAAGACATGGTCCTCCTTCCTTTACAAAAAGATATTACTTCATCCTCAAGTACAGATGACTCATTTATCCATGATCACAGCACAGGCACTTGAGTGATGGGTGTCAGCACACTGGGGACCTAGGAACCTGGGACCTCAAAATCTTCACTGTGATCAAGTCCTTCCATTTTTTTTTTTTTCCTTTTTTGTCTTTTATCGTGTCCGGCAACGGATTGCAACCCTCAGTGTCACGCCCGTACCGGACTGGGACCGGCAACGGGATCGCAACCCTCGGTGTTGCTCCCACACCTCGCTCAGCCAGTGAGCGGGAACCGGTCCGCAGGTGGGATCCGAACCCTCGGCGGGAGCGCCGCCACGCTCCCAAGCAGCGCACTGTAG